CCCCGCCTCCGACCCCCGCCCCGGAGCCGCGCCCACTCCCGCCCTCCTCCGATTGGCCACGCACTTCTACCGGGCCGCCCACGTAGGGGCGCTAGAACCGGTGTCCCTGGCGCAGCCCTGGGCCCCGCGGGATGCAGCTGGCTGCCCTCCGTAGTCTTTCCCTTGTCATCGCTCTCTCCCTGCGCGGCTCGACCTGAAGCAACCAGCGAGTGCAGTACCTGTGTATAGTGCCTTCATAGCAGATTGCTTCCTACAGCTCTTTTCACTTATTCTGTCTCTTCAAATCTAAGTGGTGTGGTTTTGGTGAGTTTGAGTTTAGCATGTTTTCAATTTGTCGTTTAAAAAAAAAACTAATGGGAACTGCGGGTGTAGTTCAGTGGTAGAGCATGTGTTCAAGCATGCAGGTTTGGATGGACCTGGGTTAGATCATCAGCACTCGGTAATAATAACATTTTTCCTTCCCGCCAGAACCGACATCTTCCAGTAATTTGCCAAAATGACTAACGGGAAGAGAAAGAGAAAGGGAACCCGGTATATGTTCTCTAGGCGTTTTAGAAAACATGGGGTTGCTCCTTCAGCCACATACATGGAAATTTGCAAAAAGCGTCATAATGTAGACATCAAGGGAACGGATACTGTTCAAAAAGGAGTGCCACGCAAATGTTACTATGGTGAAACTGGAAGCGTCTCGTTGTAAACAAGCAAGTTAAGGGCAAAATACTTGCCAAGATGATTAATGTGCATATCGAGCATATTAAACGCTCGAAGAGTTGAAATGGCTTTCTGAAACCTGTCAAGGAAAGTGATCAGAAAAAGAAGGAAGCCAAAGAAAAAGGTACCCAGGTTCAACCGAAGCACCAGCCTGCCTTGCTCAGAGAAGCACACTTTTGTGAGACCTAATGTGAAGACGCTTGAGTTGCTGGAATTAATTTCCTATGAATTCATGACATAAAATGGAGATGTAGCTCTGCCATTCAGCACCTAAATAGCGGCTAAGTGTTCTAGGTCCTCCTTAAAAATAAAAAACCATCCTGTGTTGTAAGGATGGTTTTCTTAATGGAACAGGTGTGTGATGCCTTTACTTCAGAAACAAATAGCAATAACAATGACAATAATATAATTTGATACAAAAGCAGTAGGCCTGAGTGCATCCATTATGAGTACAAAGCAAGCAACACGTTCTTTAAAAAAAGTAAAAACCAAATTTAAGGGGGAAAATTTTTAAATTTTGCTGGGGTTTTTACTGAGCTTTGCAGTCCTGGGAATCTATTCCAGAGCCTCCCACATGGTAGGCACTAAGCTACCCCATCCCCACAGCCTCAAGTTAAGATTTTTTTAAACCTTTGAAAGACTTTCTACAAAATCAATACAAAACTTGAATTTCCAGGCAATTGGTAATTTAGCCATAACCTGGTTTAACTGGAAAGAGGTAAGAAATCAATCATTACTTAGGAAGGAGGAGTCCTTAAACTCTAAAGGTCCATCAAAGGTTTAAGATCAGCTTTAGCATCCTATGTGAATTACAGATCTGCCCTATCTTCTTGCCCTTCACTTTATCGTGCTTTGCAGACATTATTATTATTATTATTTTTTTTTTGCTTTGCTTTTTTCCCCACACATGGCAGTTACTGGTGATCTCCTCATCAAGCATGTCTATCAGCCATTTTTCCAACAGCACGTGCTCATTTTGAGTTTCTATGTCACCTTTTCATTATTCTCACAAAATTTCAAAAGTTTTCCCTTCTTTCTTTTTTTCTTATGGTAGTGGGGATTGAGCCCAGTCCCTTGGCACTGAGTTATATCCTCAGCCCTTTGTATTTTGAGACAAGGTTTCACTGAATTGCCCAGGCTGGGTTCAAACTTGTGATCCTCCTGCCTCATTCACTCAGAGTGCTGAGATTACAAGTGTGCACCACCACACTTGGCTTTGAATTGTCTCAATATTATTGTATCTGTTGTAGTGCTCTGTGATCGTTGATGTTGCTATTACTATTGTTTTGAAAGGCACCATAAACTTTCCCATATACGATGTCAAACTTAGTGTTTCTGTTTTTGACTGCTCAACTGACCAGACTTTCCCACATCTCTCTCCACCTCCGCAGGCTTCCCTATTCCATAAGACACAACAATATTGGGAGATTAATACCCTACACCAGTGGTGTTGAGCCTATGGCACATGCACCCCACGGGGGCACAGAGCCCTCTCTGTGGGCACATAAGTCAAGCTGCCCCAGCAGCCGAGCATTGGATAACAGTTGTTTTTTCTTACCTAAAATCTCAATATTCAGGTTTAATTGCAGTGTTGGTACTTTGCAATAAATAAGTGGTTTTGGGGTTGCAGTTTGGGCCCTCAGTCTCTAAAAGTTTCACCATCACTGCCCTACACAATGGGCTCTAAGTGCTCAAGCAAAATAGACAGTTTCATATCTCTTACTTTAAATCAAAAACTAAAATTGATTAAGTTTAGTGAGGAAGTCCTGTCAGAAGCCAACAGAGGCCCAGCATGATTGCGCATGCCTGTAATCCCACCTACTCGGAAGGCTGAGGCAGGAGAATCACAAACTCAAGGCCAGTCTGGACAATATATCAAGACCCTGTCTCAAAATTTAAAAAAAAAGTTGAAAAGGGCTGAGGATATAGCTCAGTGGTAGAGCACCACTGGATATTGGATTTGATCTGCAGGAAAGAAAGGAAAAAAGGAAAGAGAGAGAGACAGAGAGAGACAGAGAGAGAGAGAGAGAGAGAGAGAGAGAGAGAGAGAGAGAGAAAGAAAGAAAGAAAGACAGAAAGAAACCCAAGATAGGCTAAAAATTAAGCCTCTTGTGCCAAAGAATCAAGTTGTCAATGCAAAGGAAAAGTTCTTAAAGCTCTTAAAGGAAATTTAAAATGCTATGCCAGTAAACAAATTATAGAGAAGTAAAGCAGTTTTATTGCTGATATGGAGAAAGTTTTAGTGACCCAGGTAGAAATTCAAACCAGCCACAATATTCTCTTGAAGCAAACCTAATCCAGAGAAAGACCCTAACTCTTCCATTCTCTGAAGGCTGAGAGAGGGGAGGAAGCTGCTGAACAAAAGCCTGAAGCTAGCAGAGGAAAGTCTGAGGAAAGAAGCTGTCTCCAAAAATAAAAGTCCAAGGTACAGCAGCCAGTGCTTATGTCGAAGTTATAGAAAGTTGTCCAGAAAAGCTGGCAAAGATAATTGATAATAAAATAAGATATAATCAGTCAGGCTATCTCTGTGCCTCACTTTCATTTTCTGTATATTACTTCCTGTCTCTGGCTATAAATATAAACCTACTCATGCATTACACCAGGCAGGTCATCCTGAATCATTTTTGGTCAAGACTATTGCCAAGTCTAGAATTGCAAATGAAGCCAGTTGAGATCTTAAAGACTAGGTTTGTTGAAATTTGGTCTCTTAACATCATTAAAAACCTTCATGATCCAAGGAGGGTCAAAATATCAAGATTAATGGGAATTTGAAAGAAGTTGGTTGAAAGCTTCATAGGTGACTTTGAAGAATTCAAGACATCAGTGGAGGAGAAAAATGAAGTTGTGATCAAAATAGCAAGTGAACTAAAATTACAAGTGGAGCCTGAAGGTGTGACCAAAGGTCCTGTGATCTCATGATAAAATTTTAGTAGATGAGGAGTTGCTTCTCATGAATAAGCAAAGAAAGTTGATTTTGCGGATAAAATCTACTCCCAGTTAAGATGCTAGGACACTGTTGAAATGTCAACAAAGGGTTTATTGCCCGGCATGGTGGCGCACACCTGTAATCCCAGCATTCGGGAGGCTGAGGCAGGAGGATTGTTGTGAGTTCGAGACCAGCCTGGACTACAAAGTGAGCTCAAGGCCAGCCTGAACTGTATAGCGAGACCCTGCCTCAAAAAGACAAAAAAAAGAAAAAAAGGTTTATTTAGAATACTGCATAGTCAATAAAGCAGTGCATAATGTTATTGTACACTTCAGTAGGTGTTATATATACTTCAGTAATATAAGCATAGCTTTTATATGCACTTGGAAACCAAACAAATTCATGGGGCTTACTTTATTACAATATTCACTATATTGCAATGGTCTGGATCCAAACCTGCCACACCTGAGATATGCCTGTCTGAGTCATCTGAAAGACAGAATAGGCAAACAGTAAGAAAAGTAATTCATCGAACTTCAGTACTTTCTTGTATATTTCAGGTCCAAAAAGTAAAATATTATGTAGACATATTATTTGGGTGTACCTCCCGTAAGTCTCCACTTCCCTCAGCTGAAGTTATGCTTCGGTTCGGGCAGTCCCCATTCCCACTTTGGCTTTCTCTCTATTTTTCTTAACTACTGGCCACCAAAGTGTAACCATTCATCCATAGTCTAATAAGCTTTGAAGTCTACCAGGCATATGTGCATTTTATAGAGACTTTTTAAGTACAGTAAGTGTCCAAACATCAGACAGAAGAGTGATCCTGAAATCAAGTTCACATTTCAGGACAGGGCTCCCCATCCAGGGTTCTTCAATCACACCCATAGTTTGCTGTTGCTAGTTTTACCTCTTTCTGAGCACCTGGTCCAACTTTTAGGCAGCAGCTAAACTAACAAAGATAAATAGTAGGAAATGCCGGGCTCTGTGAGCTTATAGAAAAGTGGCAGGGGAATATTCATGTGGGCAAGTAGTATTTAATGAACCCAGAGGGAAATAATTAAAATAGGTTTACACACTTGTAGACTCTTTCTGGGAGATTCAGGAGCAGTAAACTCTCCTAGGCAAAGAAGTCAACAAAAGTATTGAGCATGACAAATTAAGAGTATGGAGCCTACTAGAAAATGTTATCCATTATAACTTTATATAAAACTTTGCTATTAGAATACTGTACATGGGTCTGACCTCTAATAAGATGCATCATCAAACTATAATTTCTTCCCAAAGATAGCTAAGTGGACCCAGGAGATAGAATGGACAGAGGGCTTAAAAACTGTGTAGGCAAATGTTAGACATTTGATATATTGAATCTTCATAACACTTTGTAAGATAGGAATCATCAACATTTTGCAATGATACATGTTAGGAATGCCTTCTGCAAATAACAGAATAACCCAACTAACAGTGGCTTAATTAAATATACAATTTTTGTTACTTTATAAAAGTGGGAGGTAGGTGGTTAATGGCATTGGATCAGTTGTAAGAGAAGTCAACAACTCCAGAAATTATATCCAAACTCAAGGGAGGGGAAAAGGAGAACCACCAATGTCAGCTTATCAAGCGAGTTGTCCTTAAAAACTGCCTGCAAAAGATTTTGAGTATGTGTCATTCATCAGAACTGTGTCACATGACCACCTACAGGTAGAAAGAAGACTGAGAAAGCAAGCTTGGGTTTCCAAGCTCGATGATAGAGGGAGACAAGAAGGGGGTTTTAAAAAGTCTGTTGGGCTAAAAACATGCATTTGGTTAGTCAATCACAAGGTTTTCCTAGAGCTCACCTTTGAACTGTCTAATATCCATGTGTGCACTTCTTATACAGGTGTTTTATGTTGTATCCATTCATGAGATCCTACGGAGGGTTTTGTACCCATCTTAAAGTCTAAAGTTTTCTTAATAAGAATTGTTTGCTTATTTATTTGTTTGTGAGGGCGGTGGTTGTTTTGGTTCTGGGGATGTGTGGTGGGCAACTTGCAACACCCAGGTGAGCTGAATCAGCATGGTGCTGAGTGTGGAAGGCCCACCTGAGGATTGTTGCTAACAGCATAAAAAGAGAATTGGAGGGGAAGATGTTGTGCTGTTGATCCTCCTGGAGAAGCTTGTCACGCTGGCTTTCCTGATATGAATTCAGCTATTCCCATCATCGGAGGCACTCAGGTGCTCGATGTCACTGAGGCTGGATGCTGTTCTCTTCAGGGGAGCTCTGGTCCTCACCTTGAGCATCACTTCCTGGCTCCAGTGCAGATCCCTCAGCCTGCTGGCATAGATCCTCCATCCCACTGGCACAGACTTTCTAGCTTCCACCACTGCACTAGGCTTTCCCAGTGCAGATCCTTGATACAGATTTTCACGAGACATTGTTGTGGGCTCT